TGTTTTGCGGAGGATGGCACCTTCAGTTTTACTGTTCTACTGAATTTTTAACGTGGTCTATAAAATGTGGACCGTTATGACTCTATTTTTTCCTAATTTTACACAAAATTTTTGAAAATTAGGGTCCCTTTCCAATGCAACCTTAAATTTAACTTTTCCCTATATAGACATATTACAGTTCTATTTCATTTGCCTCTCCAGTGCAATTTGGCCATTTGTAATTTATGCATTGAATTGACTCCTCCTAACCGGAAATGCTTGTCGTCTACATTTGTGTCCACGTTTGCCGAACAATAATTGATAGATGTGTGAGTAAAACAAGCCCCTGTTGAGTTGTTTTCCCATTCATATTTCAATGTCCATATCCTGTGGGACTTGGCCTTTTACGAGTTTATAAATTCAACTTTTTTCCCTGCAAAATTTCCCGCTCCTTCTGTCTACTGTGACGTAGTGGATAGGTTAACCAGTGTTCATTCTTGAAGATCGGGTCTGTAGATAAGCTGAGATGGATGTGAATCACAGTGAAACAAAAACCTGCTGAAATTGGATACTTACTTATCTGTGTGTGAATAATTGCCAAATAATTTGTCAAACCATATCGTAAGATATCGCCAAAGGCAAAAACTTGAAGAACTTATTCAAATCCTTTTCTACGAGGGATTGTTACTGTCTAATAATTTGTTAATTTGCTAGGCATGCACCAATATTTGCCTAAATGAGAAGACTAGACGCAATTAGTTGCGTGACCAAGGCTACACTGCTGATGTCGGTCTCGTATCAGCCTGCACAGGGTTTTGGAATTCCAGGCAATGTGCAGCACCACTCGTTTACGCTGCTGACGTCAGTCTCAGGTTAGATGTCGAAGACGCTTACGCAAGGTCTGCGGAAATATCAAACACAAAGTTTGCTAAATTAATGGAAAATTCGGGGGTCTACACACCATTTTTTTTTTCATATATACCCACAGACTTCAAAAATGAGCCTAATTTCCCGGATGGATTCTGCAATTAATACAACTACAGCCGTTTCAGATATGGAGCATAAACGGACAAAAGTTTTCGCACAATGGTATTGTCCCACGAAGAAATTGTCTAGAAAGATAGAACGCAAAAGATACAATACCGATTGAATGAAGAAAACCGAAATATTTTAGGAAAACAATCTAAGAATGAACTATATTTTGGGGGTTATTTAAGGAAATATCGTACGAGTTCCAAATAAAATAGATTTACTGTGGTAGGTATCGAGTACTTTTCGGCTATAACACGACCGAAGTTGGGCTTTTTTGGACAATCTATCTTTAGCTATATGGCTATCAGATTATTATTTATGGACGGGTAGAGAATATACAAATTACAGGAACACGATATCCAGGCAAGACTGAGCAGAAAATCAAAGTATTCAGACTGAAATCCATACACTTTTTAGTATTCAATCTTCGCCAAAGAAAAACTAACTTTTGGTACTGTCACAAATATTCTGTTCGCTTAAAACTGACAAAGCATATTTAATAAGACCAAATCTGTAACTAAAATAGTCGAGATAAGGACGCAATCTCGACGTATTAATTAAAATAATCGCGGAATCTAGTATCGTTAAATTTTTCTCATGCTTTTAATAAGAATCAGATGCAATGTATTACTGGACTTGAATCTTAGCTATCTAAGTTAGACTGCATTCGGATTTTCGATGCTCAACTGTGTCTTCTAAGAAGGAAAGCTTGTAGATTATTATAAAAAATTAAAAGGTGTTGAATGCTTATGCGTGCCGTGAGTTGCCTATCAGAATAAAAATATAGGGCTACCTATTAAAATGCATTCATATAATTTTGTCAATAACAAATATAATAAGTAATCTTCACAATACTTGTTTCATTTTAAACAAGGATTTTATTTTTTGTGATTCAGTCGATTTTTGCAAAATACCTCTAAAGTGTTTCTGAAGAACATCAAATTATTAACTCGACAATTTGTTTATGTGCCCATTTTGTGGGGCGCTCTATTTAGAAGCGGCGCTGTTAAGGCGTATAGTGATGCTCTCCTTGGCGCGGACGGCCAGATGTGTCTGTGTGCCAAAGCTTTGTTCCCCCTGTACTTTGTACAGTTCTTCAAAATCTACCGTACCGGAAAGCTTGAAGCAGCCGTAGGGTTTGTTCTGTACTTTACGTGCTTTTAGTGCACCCAAACCAGACCATCCTTATGAAGAAGTTAGCAAGTATAAGCCATATAGTCCATTTCGAGTGACCCCCTCTAACAAAGTTGAGTATGCTCTCGCCCGTCTCGATGACTTAATCAACTGGGGTCGCAAGGTAAACACTTTTATTAAAAGCAATCCCTTTTAGAATTCTATTTGGCCGGTTACCTTCGGTTTAGCCTGCTGTGCCATTGAGATGATGCACATGGCTGCTCCTCGATACGATATGGACCGTTTCGGTGTAGTCTTTCGAGCGAGTCCGCGTCACTGCGATCTAATGATCGTTGCCGGCACCCTGACGAATAAAATGGCTCCTGCTCTTCGCCGTATCTGGGATCAGATGCCTCATCCAAAGTGGGCGATTTCTATGGGATCTTGCGCAAATGGTGGTGGCTACTACCACTATAGCTATAGTGTTGTTCGCGGTTGTGATCGTATCATCCCAGTCGATATTTTTGTTCCTGGTGAGACCGAAATTCTTTTGGTCATTCTTCGAATTGCCTCAACTTGTTAGAAGTTGCTTATGAATCTCGATTATTATTATTTTTTGACTGTTTTTTCATCATTGTGGTGCTAGCTAGCTAGCAACTACAATGAATTATTTCCTGGCATTATTTTCCAGGTTGTCCACCTACCGCTGAAGCGCTGTTGTACTCGGTCCTGCAATTGCAGAAGAAGATCAAGTACATGAAGACTCAGCAGATGTGGTACCGAAAGTAGTCGCATCAAAGTTATGTATACCCAAATTTCCCTGTAGTTTATGCTTTTTACTGTTGCCATGCGCATCCTGGACATTTGAACCAATACATTATCGATGGCGCTTGTTGTCTTGGTTCCGATACTTATAGCATAGTCCCCGTTCCGTGGTAATGGTTCTTATCCTACTCCAATTCTGCTTTTGTTGACGCCCTCAGGATTGTGTTTGACTAAAACACCCAAAAGAAGCTTGTTTGAATTTCATAGTTGGAACTGTTCTATAGTAGTTTGCCCGCTTTTGGTTTTTTTGTCTACTATCCACACAACTTTCCAAGATTGTGTTGCTGTTCTTGCCGGAAGTGATTGGACCTGGTGGTGTTTTTGGGACAGGTCTAAATTGATTTCATTATTTTAGTAATCTACTCCATAAATGCATTTTAAATAAACGAGCTGGTTACTTGCTTTTCATGTTTATTCGCTCCTACCTCCTCAATATTTGTGCCAAATAGACACTTCATGATGGTGGGGCTGCTTTGTCAGCGTCCCTTTACAAGTTTCTATTTGATAATTTTGGTTTGTTCGGTGCATTTACGAATTGTCCAGCTTTCATTTAAAACTGGGATCAGTACTTAAGCACGCTGACCGTGAGTGGATTGTTCATGATTTGTGATGGCAGGTGAGCTCGGTAACAGAACCACGCAAAAAGCAAAGTTTTCTTCCTAAATCTATATATTTGAAGTTGGGACAAATCGACAATTGGTGTTAAAAGGAGCGAAGGGTAGAGGGCAGGCTTAAGCTGGCGGACAGCGGTTCACTCAAATCGAAAAAGGACACTTGGGTATTTGCACAGCCAGTTTTGACGGGGAGGAGGAAGGGGAGAATAAGTGGATAGTCACATCTCTGTCTCTTTCAAAGGCAGCCTTGGTTAAGTTCGTTTTGAAAGACTCCGCTGGTTAGTATTCTTGTGCGAGTTCTCAAGGGTAAGATGTACAGATTGGGAGTGTGGGTGGTGAGATTTTTCCAGCAACAATATACACAAAGTTGGGGGGATATGCATCAATGACTATACACGAGAGTTCTCGCTTCTTCTGTTAATCTAAAAATCAGTACAAAACAACGCCATTAAGAGCACCAAACACGCCTGCGATTTTCCTCCCCGGTTTTATCAACTCACCTGTCTCGTCAGCTCTTCTTTATTGGAGATCGTTTGAGCATAGTGTCTAAATAGAATTTGAAAAGGTTAATAATGAGTGAAAAAGTCGAAAAAGCAGAGAAGTTTAACTTACCGGAATGGTACTTCACGATAGCCTCGCATACAAATTGGAATTGGGCCTGGATGATCAAAAAAACACTTTGAGAATAGCCTACTTAAAAGTATTTTAATAGAAAAAGACAAAATTGCTTCCTCACCGGCGTTTGAACGAGCCTTTTTCGGAACATGCGCATCTCTCTGACCATTTCAATTGGTCTGACCGGTGATTGGGCGCGAATCATGTCCATGGCCGTGTCGAGGAGAATAACCACGCCGGTGCGCCCAATGCCGGCGGAGCAGTGGACGACGGCGCAGGTAGACTTGCCACGATCACGCAGTTCCCGCATCCGTTCAACAAAAGCAATCAGGTCGGTACAGTTGCTGGGCACCCCATGGTCGGGCCATCTGATATACTGCAGCTGGACAATTCGACGCACCTCCGCTCCGTTTAATACGGAGGGTCCCTTCTCCCTGGAGAAGCTGATGGTGTTCGTTTTATTGGGTTTGAGAGACAAGCCCGCGGTGGTAGCGTCTTTAATCGTAGTGACACTTCTCTGCACCTGGAACTCCCTGTAAGCTGTGTTTCCCTTCTCCTCTTCTTTAATGTTGGAAACTCGCAGTTGAATGCATTTGTCCGACGGGGAGGTGGAGATTTTAGAGGATTTCGGATGAATCCAAGCGAACTCAAATGTCTCGTTTTCGTTTGGCCAGTATTTGTGACACTTCTCCTGATAGAGCGAGTGAAGAAAGAATAACTCAGTCACTCCAATAGAATCCCTTCCAGCTCCAGTAAAACTGGCACATGAGGTCGCAATCTACTATTCCGTGAAACAAAACTGAAAGACTGCAATAAAATGAGTTGGTGCTAGCAAAAACAAGAAAGTGGTGTTCAGGTCAAACCATAGTTTTCACTTCACCGGTTTACAGCGATAATAAACGCGATAGTAAGTGCCATCTATGTGCTCTTTCTGTTCGGCTCATAAGTTGCATTTGCGTCAGCACAATCCACTTCAAGCAACTTCGTATTGTGTGTTGGGGCAAGGTTCTCGTCACCAAAAACGAAGGTTTAGTGATGAGGCGCTCAGTGGTGAAACATTTGATATCGGTTGACTTTGTGACTACTGGTGACGATTCCTGTTATCGTGGCTTTGTTTCAAGCCTACAGCGCGGAAGTTTGGACGCCTGATTGACTCCCAACCTATCGAGCAGTTGTATTCGATACAGAGGAATCTTTTCTATGAAACCGGGATGAGCACTCAGATAAACATACGTTCTTGAAAAAGTTTGAACAGCTTTTAGTACTGCTGTTAAAGTAAACCAGGTTATCTTAGGATAGTTCAGCCGTGCCGAATTCGGCGCCCAGGTATTTTCTATGGAAGTGATCCCAGGAATGAAGTCCCGGTCTAGCTTGAACGTCTTGAGTAAGTTCGGAGCTCAAGATAATCGTGTGCAAACAATTGAACTCTTTTGATAAAATTGGCGTAGAAGGATTATTTGTCAAAAACGATGCCAAATGAGGTAAACATAATCTTTAAAATTCCCACATCCCCTTACTCTGCCCTGTTCTCCCACATCAGTGAGCATCACAATGAGTTCACTGTCATGCTCCCAGCACATCTGCCAAAAGTCAGCGCAGGTGGTCTTCAAGGGGCCCTGCGAGGCGATGTATTTTCGCAACACCGCTTTGGGAATCGTCATCTGCAATAAAAAGGGGAAAACAAACCATTTATTATCCCTTACACACTCCATTAGCATTGTAATGCCTCCTCCAACCTACCTCAATAAAGCTCGCGTTTATGTAATCGCCGTCTGCGCCCAAAATTTTCACTCGAGTGTGATCATCTGCAATTAGTAGGCCAAAAATGTTGAGGGAGAAATTTTGCACAGCTTCTCAGAGTAAGTGGGAGCTCATATTACTTCCTTTTGTCATTCGGTGTTCAGGAATTTGTTAAACTGCAGAGGGTCACTGACCCCTGCAACCTTCGATGACACAAAAACGGGAGTGACTTACAGGGAGAGATATCACGGTAGCGATTTTTGCGGCCATTTGTTTGGGCGTCAAGTGTTGTGGCATGTGGGTCACCTTGTTCCAATTTCTACACGAGAAAAACAAAGGCAAGTAATGGATAGGTAAGTTTCCGTTTGTTTCTCCTTTTCAATGTTTCGGTTTTATGTATTACCGTGACACAAGTTATTAAGTTGTAAGCTTAAATCGTTAAAGTGTAAGATAAGAATGTGGGAGAAGTTCATAACAGCGTAATACATTGGCTACTAGGGTCACATATAGGTGACACCGCAATTGGGACATTCACCTGAACCTCGGTTAGCAAATGTGTAAAGACCTCTCCAATAGGACAACGCTGAACTAACTCCTCCACATCGATAACAAACAGACTTGAGGACTGATGTGTCCTACGCTTTTCGTTAACTTCGAGACGAAATTTTTCCGGGTAAAATCCAACACCACACTCACCTCAAATTTTCGAACAAGCGAACCATCAGCCAATCCATTTTCAATGTCTCTTATGGAGAGGTACAATGACTCTGTGCCCGAGGTTAGGGCTTTCCTCAGGCCCATTCCAGAGGTCGATTTATCGCGGACAGTGCCGTAGCTGTTGATTCGCGGTTTGGGAAGTGATGTAGGCGGTCCCATTTGAAATTGCTGCTGATGTTGTGGTTGTTGTGATTGGCAACGGCGATAATGGTGATTGGAAGGTGACACATCGAGACGTTGGGAGGAGGAGTTGGATGGCAGCCACATGCCAGCAGGTGTTTCCGTGGCGCTAGCCTTGGGTGGACGTGGTGGTGCATCTTCACTGTCAGTCGTCTGATCGTCCATCACATCGTCCTCCAGGTAATTTGCTTATTTACAGAGCAAACACAATTAGACATTCTTTTCCTCCTCTTCCTCCTTAGACTATCAGCCCAAGCACACACGTACGGCCACCATACCAGTATTGTCATCCACTTTCCAACCCTTGTGTACAATTGCAATAAACCTACTTCCAGACCTGTGTGCCTTATCCGTGTGTTCAAAGATAATTCAAATGCTACATCAGTGACAGCAATGGTGAACCCGCACAAAAAGGGTAGTAATTCTGATGTCATTGACAGGATACTTTTTTTCAAAGGCATTCATTGTGGAGACTCGCAATAGATGATCATTAGCAGTGACACTTTGTTTCCAGAAGCAGGAGGTCCAGCTCTGGCAACTTTTAACTTCATCCCACTTTCATTTCCCCACTATGGACATGATATGTGATTATTTGATACTCGAAAAAGAGTGATAATCGTCACTTGGCAAAATATCCCGGAGGATGGAGGATGACTCGCATTTCTTTATTCACAGTACAATACAAAATACTCATACTTGTGGATTAAATTAGGAGGACTGCTTTAATGCACCAAGAAATAGAAAGAGTGCGAAAATGAATCTCTCCGATGTATTGTGATGAAAGAGTGGGGAGTAACTTGGGGGGTGTTTAGTCAGGCTAACTATTTCACATAGCTTTAACCAGGAAAAAAAAACAAAGGACAGAAATCAGTTGGCCTATTCAGAGAAGATGCTGTTTACTAGAGCCGAATCCCACCAGTCTGCTTCCAAGGTACAGTAAAAAAAGTTTTTTTTTTTGAAAAATACATTATTAAAACGGTGTTACATTATCGCATAGAAGCGGGTACGATGGACTATCAATTTACTCACCATCAGGTTTCACAACCAGCTCCAAATAACCCGTACGACTTTTAGCAGCCTTCTGGATGGAATTGATCACCTACGTTTTGAAAAGAAGAGAGAAGAAATTGCAAGTAGAAATGTCAAATTTGACAGCCTAGGCATGTGTAAAGTAAGTGTGTTTTTGTAAAATCAGGAATATGTGAAAATACAGGTTAAAATACTACAGCAAAGAGAGTCGGAAACATTATTGTAAGAAATTATTCACAATTCTGGAAGGAGAAATTGTTGCTCACTTTAACAGAATCAACTAGGAGATACAATTTTTGGAAAACAATGGTTGTTCAGGTCATGCCGGGACTTGTTGTCATTGGGGTGCGAAACCTATGATGTCAAGGTACCATTGTTATAGAGCGTGTAAAGTATACCTTGTTATGACTAATAATAGCCAAAGCACAGATTTTTTTGTTTGGGAGCAATCCAATCCGCCTCACTCCGTAAACAGTTCCTCCACATGGGATAGCAAGCAAAATGCAGGTTTTTTCCCATCCATCCAACTGCATATTTAGGGTGCCTAAACTAAGTACCTTATCAAAAAAGAAGATGCAGAACTCTTAGCCGTGGAAAACTTCAATCTACGTAAGTACCGAAGATGTAAAACTCATCAACGCAGTCGCTCAACAGTAAGTGCTTTCAAAGTTGGGAGTCATTTCCGCCTATTTCCAACCAGCCTGTGGAACGCCCAGTAGATCCAAAGTTACAAACAAGGAACGAGTCTTCCCACCCACTACCCAAGAATGGCTCAGCCGTAATACGAAGGATTTGTATGCTAAAGGATCCAAATGAATACCCGGAAGTGTGGGTAAATAAGGTAGGGCAGTAGGAAAAAAAGTGGCTCTGGTTTTTGTTCCCTATGCTAAAAGTCACCAACCAACTAGCATAATTCACTCCCCTACTCACAATAATAGTTTTCAATAAGCAACCACATAATATACATCTTCTGTCTTTTCCTTAACTGACCTGTTCTTGAGTATAGCCGGAGATGTCCCGATCATTGATACGGATGATCTGATCGCCACGATGCAGACGAGGAGAGGCAGCACCAGCAGGCAAGTTGTCACCAACTCGGCTCACGATGACAGGTCTTTTGTAATCAACCCCACCACACACGTTAAAGCCGTATTGGCCCTCTGGACTCGGCCGAATTCGCACTGTCAAGAGATTCTCGTTGGAGGTGTTCGGACTGACCGATGACGTGTCCGTTGCAACGCCACCAACACCCCCACCGGTGGCGGATCTGCTGGATGTTTTGGTCGACTGATGGTGCCGCATTTCACTCTACACAATGAATTATGTAAAAAAGGAGTGAAATTAAAGAGCAAAGTTGAGGACATTGCTACATGTGACTTCTTCCTAAAGTGCAGCACGATCATGGCAATCTTGTGTAGGTCTGCAAATGACCTTGTGCATTAAATACCCCAAAGCCGATAAAATTCACTGTTATTTTGTACAGACCCACCAGAACATATGCATGATGCGCATAAACACACACATTTCGTAATTTAATTTGTGATTTCTATTGGCAGAGAAATCGCTTATTTTGTTTTGCATTCACAAGTCATGTGATCGTAGAGCCACCTCTTCAACTGAAATTAGCTAACTGTACCAGCATACGTGAGTAAAATGCTTTCTGGGAATGAGTTCACCGCCGCAGCGTTGATGAAAACCCGACTTAATGAATCAAAAGGGGATTTTATAAAGAAGGCAGTAACTACTAGCA